AAAAAAGATAAGAAAGAAAAGGGGTTGAGCGAGGTGGGTTTAGGGTGCAAGGGGATGCAGCGGTCCCTAAGGGAAGGTAGAGGAGCAAGACCCAAGATAGTGCCTGCTTTTAGGCCTGATAAATGCCACTCCCAGGGTGAAGCTGGCCCCCAACTCAGTCAGGATCAGCCTCCCACCCCTAGGAAGATGGGTTGGCCTGGCCCTAATCAAGACAGGCCCTGCGCCCAGAGGATGAATCCACTTCACACCTCAGAGCTGGACACAACAGGAGCTTCCCTCCAGAAAGCGCAGGCCCCACTCACCTCCAGTCTTGGATTGTCCTGGGGCTTGACTATTTCCAACATTTGGTTCTGCCCCACCCATTTTGGGTGGACCCTGCAGGAGCTGGCTCTTGAGGCCCTGGAACGCGAGGTGTCAGTGCAGCAGCAGATTGCAGCCGCTGCCCGCCGCCTGGCCTTGGCCCCCGAGCTGAGTGGGGAGCAGCGCCGGCGCAGGCGCCAGGTCCAGGCAGATGCACTGCGGAGACTACATGAGCTGGAGGAGCAGCTCAGGGATGTCCGGGCCTGCCTTGGCCTCCCCGTGCTCCCGCCACCCCAGCCACTGCCGCTGTCCACGGGGACAGTTATCACCACCCAGGGAGTTTGCCTGGGCACACGCCTCACTCAACTCAGCCAAGGTGAGCCAGGTCCCATCCTCTCACCTGTGAAAGTGGGAGAGGGGGCCCAGTGAATGGACACTGGCTAACGTACTGAGAGGGGTGGGAGGGGAGAAGACAGGGAGATAGACAGAACTTGAAGGGGCCCATCCAGTAAGAAGAGTTGAGATCAATTGGCTCATGGGAAGGGTGGTGCCATTTTGAACTGGCCATTAGACGTGAGAAGAGTGAGGAACCAAGTGCATGGTGGCTTTGGATAGCCACAAAGGTGAATTCTTTGGGGGGAGGAGGAGGTCCGTCCAGAAGGGGCAGTTCAGCAAGGCCCATCCAGTAGTATAAGGGGATGGTACCCAGGCCTTGGATTGTTAGGCCCGGTTCTCCCCCTTCTTACCTGTAGAGGACGTAGTTCTGCACTCAGAGAGCAGCTCCCTCTCAGAGTCTGGGGCCAGCCATGATAATGGTGAGGACTCCTTCCCCCAGGCGCGCCCCCAACCCCTTCCTATGCTCTTTGACCCACCCTGAGATGATCACCCCTTCTGTTCCACTTAGTCCTCTTTAGCCCATCTTCCTGTGGGGCCCCCCATCTTTTTAGCTTCGTCCTACCCTTGTTTCCTTAGTTCCAGTCCCTACCCAGCAGCTTCTCCCCTCTGCTCGCTGCCCGCCTCATCCTTTAGCCCTCTTAGCTGTCCCAGATCTTTGCCCCTCCCCTACTTCCTTAGCCCCTCCCCTTTGCTTTGCCCCCCCTCCCCCACCTGCCCTGCTTCCTCTCACTGACTTCTCCCTCCTATTCAGAGGAGCCCCATGGGAGCTGTTTCCCTCTGGCTGAGCGCCCTTCTCCACCCAAGGCCTGGGACCAGCTGCGGGCAGTATCTGGGGGCAGCCCTGAGAGGCGAGCCCCTTGGAAACCACCCCCACCCGATCTTTACGGGGATCTGAAGAGCCGGCGGAACTCGGTGGCCAGCCCCACCAGGTGAGGGCGAGGCCCTGCATCCTTTCTTCCTCCTGAGTCAGAAATGGCATGTTGAGCTTGGGCGGGGCCGGAGGGCATGCTGGTGCGCATGGTCTCTAACCTGGGCCCTGGACTGGGCCTGCCTGTCTCTGCTTAGCCCCACACGCTCACTGCCCAGGAGTGCCTCGAGCTTTGAGGGGCGAAGTGTGCCTGCCACCCCTGTCCTCTCCCGGGGCGCTGGCCCCCAGCTCTGCAAGTAAGGAGACTCTGAGGGTGGCTTTGAGGCTGAGCGGAGGGAATCGTTTCGTTTCGTTTTCACTGGGAGGGTTAGGAAAAGCATCATCAAAGGGTGGGAGACTACCAAGGGTGGGCTCTGAAAGGCGAAGAGGAGTTATCCTGGTCCAGAAGAAGGGGTGGGGACTTGGAGCGGAAACATGGAAGTTTGAGGATTGATGGTTCTGTGCATTCAGGACAAGTAAGCTCTCTCGATTTGTGCCTCCATATACGTGAAATGGGCATAAGAATTTCAGCCTCTGAATGTTGTAGGCCCCAAAGTTATGGTTAGTTGTTACAGCCCACTGTCTGCCAGAAATCACAACTTTTCATGCACCTAGTTGGTTTCTGGCCGTGAAGAAGCAAGTCTCCTTTGTGGAGCTTACTGCCTGTGAACAAGAATGGCTGGGCACGATGGTTGGGATAATGCTTACACACTGCAGGACCGAAAGCTCGGGAAGGCTCGCTTCAGACTTCATTCCGGAGTCATTAGGGAACAAGGAGAGGGAGCTCGGGTAGCAAAGGATAAGGAGTCAGATGTGTTTGGAACAGCCTTCCAGCCGGGCCTCTATGCAGCTAGTCTAGCCTCTCCAGCCTTAGGCAAACTTAGTCTCTCTGGGGACTAAGGACCTCAGCCTCCCTCCCCCTTTCCTCCCTCCCTCTCCCCCCAGTCCCCAATTCTAGGCCAGAACCCTTGCTGCCCATTGGCATGCCCTTTCCCTGACACTGCATCTGCACGAGCTCTAATCCTGGGCCCACCTTGGAGATGTGGAAGTGAAGGCTCAGATCGGAAAGAGAAGGCCTGGGGATGGGGAGACGCTCAGTCCATTGCTTTATTTTATTTTATTTTATTTTTTTGCTGACGCTATTCGCATTGCTCCCACTTCTGCACCCCCAGACCCGAAGGCCTCCATTCTCGCCAATGGTCTGGCAGCCAGGATTCCCAGATGGGCTTCCCCCGGGCAGACCCTGCCTCCGACCACGCCTCCCTCTTCGCAGCTCGCACCCGCCGCAGCAACAGCTCCGAGGCCCTGCTCGTGGACCGAGCAGCTGGTGGGGGAGCTAGCTCCCCGCCTGCTCCTCTGCACCCCCCTGCTGCTGGTCCCCCAGTCTGTAAGAGCAGTGAGGTGCTGTACGAGCACCCCCCACCAGTCCCTGCCTTCTCCTCTCGCACGGCTGGCCCCCCAGACCCTCCTCGGGCTGCCAGGCCCAGCTCAGCTGCCCCTGCCTCCCGCGGGGTCCCCCGGCACCCACCTGTATGTGGAGACTTCCTCTTGGACTATTCCCTGGAACGGGGCCTTCCCCGAGGTAGTGGTGGGCCAGGCTGGGGGGATTTGCTATCTGCAGTTGAGGTCCCAGGAGCCCTTTCCCGCCGGGATGGGCCCCTTACCATGCTCCCGGGCTCACCACCTGTGTATGCAGCTGATGGCAGCAGCCCCCTCCTCCGCAGCAAGGATCCCCAGGCCCGTGCTACCCGCACCAAGCCCTGTGGCCTGCCCCTGGATGCCTCTGAGGGTTCGGAGGGGCATCCAGCCCCTCTACTGTGGATGCCCCCACCCACTCGAAACCCCCTGGCTGGTGAGCGCAGCGGCCACAAGAACCTTGCACTGGAGGGGCTGCGGGACTGGTACATCCGGAACTCGGGTCTGGCTGCGGGGCCTCAGCGCCGGCCTGTGATCTCCCACATGGGCTCATCACACCAACCCTTCCTTCATGCCCGCTGCTATGAGGTGGGCCAGGTGCTGTACGGGACCCCCAGCCAGGCACCGCTCCCGCATTCAAGGAGTTTCACAGCGCCCCCTGTCTCCAGCAGGTATGGGGGGTGCTTTTACTGATGGGTAGGGGTCTCTCGAGGCAGATGGCAAGGGTCTCCAGGCCAGGAAGCAGCTCGTCAGGGCACAAGCGCTGATGATGTAGACCACCAGGCACAGCCACAGCACTCCCCGAGCTGTTGGGGGCCTGTGGTAGTCCACAGGGTTCTGGTGAAGGCATACTTGGGGTGCTAGAAGCTGTCGTACTTTACCCAGTGGAATCATTTTCACGGTGTAACAAGCAGTGCATGTCAGCTGAAAATGAGTCATGAATTCAGGGTATAGGGGGGAAGGGGCAGCCTGTGCCCCCACTTTCTCCTGCCCTCTTTTCCATGCCCCATGCTCCTGCCTGCACCTCTTTAACGAGCCTCTTTTCCTTTCTGTCTGTGTCGTGTCTGTCTTTTTCTCGCTTCTTCATGTTCTTCAACCTATCCTCGGATTCCTGCTACCCCTTCTAAAGATACTCTGCGGACTTCCTGTACCCCCCGGAGCTGAGCACCCGTTTAAGTGACCTGACGTTAGAGGGGGAGCAGTCCTCCACTTCTGACTCCCAGACCCCAGGGACACTGGTCTGACCTTCTGCTAGGCCCCTTGCCAACCTGGGCACAGCTGCCTCCTGGGGAGCACACGGCTGACCTCGCTGGGCCCTGAGAGGGCCTAGGGGTGTGGCGCCCTTTCTCCTCTCACACTATGCTGGGGGCTGAGGGACCCTGGCTAGCTGAAAAGCGGAGGATGATGTAATGGGGCCTCAACGCCCCTCCTCCATTTGTTTACAGTTGTGATTTAGGCGTTCAATGGTTTCCCCCAACACTAGACCTTCTATAAAAGGGAAACTGAGCTCTTATCCTGATTGGCTTCATTCCTGTCTCCTGGTCCATTCAGGAACCCCTTTCATGAAACATAGAGGGTCTTGGCACTGTTCTGGGCAGCCAGGAGGGTCCGATGTGAACAAAACTCCCATCCTCAACACCCCCTGGCAGGCCTTGGAGAGGTGGGCTCTCTACCTACACTTTTGAAGAGTTGAAGTCTGGGTGGGGAGATTAGGCTCATTTCTCCACGCCCAGGGGTGGTGCCCAAAGGGTCCCTGTCTGTACCCACTGCCTCTGCCCACAGGGCAAGATGGCCCAGCCTTTGGTGGTAGCCCTGCCCTGACTATCTTCAATCAGGAAGCCCCTGAGGAAGGGGAAGGGCAGAGTATTCCTAGGGTATGTTGTATGTGGTGGTGGTGGGATACTAGTGGTTCAACCTGGCATCTGGTAAATGCTAGTAAAATCCTCAGGTGACATCTGGCTACGGGCCATGTCACACTTTCCCTGGCTTTCCTTCCACCCACTTTTCAAACAAATCCACACAAGCTGTGTTTTCTATGACACCTGTCTGACTTTCTGGAGCTGGGGGGGTGTCCCACTACCCCCTTTATCTGGTGTTAAAACTTTTCTTTTTGTACCAATGGATCTGGGCCCAAGACACTACCCACACTGGAAGGGGATTTCTATAATAAATGTATAAACTGAATCCATGTATTGCTCCTCTGTCCTGCCTTGTGGGCCACTCATTTCTCTACGACCAGATAACATCTGATTTTGAAACACCCTGTAGTGACATCGTCTGTTCTGGCTTTCCTTGCTTGTGGTAGGATGCTTCGTTGCCTTTTTGCCCAGCTTCCTAGCCAGCCCGAGAAGAACCCTTAGTAAATAAAATGACAGTAAACACTTCCTGCCTCAACTACTCCATGCTGTACTGCCTCTCCAGGGGTGACAGGTGTCAGGAAGGGCCTCCGAGATCATCCCTTCAGCGCATGTTTAATTGAGACCGACCATCAGGAAGCATTTTTCAGAAGTGAACAAGGCCACATCTGTCTATTGAAATGCCCAAGGTCCTACCCAGGAGGCTGACATTGGCTTGAGAGATGCAACAGCCTTTATTGTTGTAGCAACACTGATAGATATGCCCCATTTCTGGAGGGCCTTCCCCGCACATCCCACCCCTTACCACTGTGAAACTTGCTTCAGGGAGGGGCAGGGTCCCTAAGGAGAGCTGGAAGAAGGTAAGTGGTGAGGGTTGGGGTCACGCGGGACCAATGATTCAACAAGGTTAGGATGCCTGAGCCTAGTACCCAGGTGGGGCCAGCAGGGGACACCTGGGTCTTGGGTTCAAGATTTGGCAATGCCTTGACCTGGGTCCAGAGCCTTGGTCCTGGGATCAAGATATGCTTGTATTTAGTCTCCGCTCCCAGCTTGGGGGCCAAGAGTGGGGGTGGTGGGGGGGTGGTTTCAGATATGGATTTGGGGAGTTCCTCCAGGCCCTGAGTTGCAGGCTGACTCTGGTCTTCAAGCTCCCAGTTTAGTGGCTCTGGCCTAGTCTCAGGTTCAAGGCGGAAGGAATGTGCTGGTCCCACAGGACTGGGTGTGAGGGACCCCAGTTTGGGACCCAGGGTTGGGGGGATGCTGATGGCCTGGTCTCTGGACTGGGAGAGGGCTTTGGGCCCCAGGTTCTGGCCAGGGTGTGCGGTCCAGGATACAGATCTCCAGTCCCTAGGATCCAGCCTCCTGCTCTTGTCCCAGCGCCTCTAGTAGCAGGCCCATTGGCGTCCGCTTGAGACCAATACTCTCCATGTTGTTCTCAAGCTTGCTTTTGAGGTTGCGCAGGCGCAGTGAAGCATGCACCAGGATCACTGTAGGTGGTACCGAAAGGAGTGGGATCAGTAATGGGGCGGAGGGGGGTGGTGGTCAGCTTGTAACCAATCAGGGGCCCAAAGAGGACGCGTGGCTGGTAAAGTGGGCGGGACAAGAGGGACTGGTAACTAGGACGTGGCAAGTGGAAGGCACTTAGCAACAGGAATGAGGCCCTGGGAGTAGTGAGAGAGAAGGGTGTTCCCTGAAAAGAGGGAGCAATGCCAGGGAAGGTTCTTTGCAATGGGGCGTGCCCAGGCCCCAGAACAACTGCAGGGCGGGCCTGGCGCCATGCGCATGCGCTGGCTCTTTCCCGGTCCATCCCAGGGTAGTGGAGACTCACGAAGCACTGGCCCCGCGATGCCGACCAGGAAGGTGCAAGCGCCTCCCACTGCCCAGAGAACGAAGAGGCCGGAGGCAAGCACTGCGGCCAGGCAGGCGGCAGGGTGGCTGCGGCGGCAGCGGCGCATGGCCGCGCGGGTTTCAGCTGCCCACACCAGCACGCCCAGCGCCACCGCTACCACCAGCGCGCCTAGGAGCATGTGCAGTGGGCGCATGTACCTGCGGGGGACAAGGGAACGGAGCTAGCCTGGCACGCAGATCGGACCACCATCCTCCCAACCCCAAGTCCCCTTTCCCCAGGCCCTCCAGCTCCTGCACCCCGTTTTCTGTCAAGCCTACAGTCCCATTTTTTCTTAATGTTCCCCGCTTCAGGCCCTGCCATCCCTATTCCCAAACTCCTGGGATCCCAATCCTCCTCTGGTCTCTCCTTCCAGGCTCCATTGAGAATCCATGTACTGCCCAATCATAGGCCCCAACTTGCCCACATGAGCCAACCTGAAGACAGCACTGTCTAAGCCCCTTCCTCCAGGCCCCCTCCCAACCTGTCCCCAAATTACTCCTTTGGAGCCAGCCCCTGCAAATCCCTCTTCAAAACCCTGCCTTCTTTTTCTAGGTCCTTAAGGGACCCTCCCCTCTTCCAGGGGGAAGCCCCTGTTCTAAGCCTTGCCTCCCTACCACCAGGATCCCATTTCCCTGGAGATCCTTCTATCAATCACAGCTAGAGCGCCTTTCAGACCTTCAGCCCTCCTCAGGATTTCCAACAATGCCTAGTCCCTGCCCCAGGTTCTCCATTCCTCTCCAGTCTCTGGGCTTCCAGCCTTGAGTCTGTCCTTTGGCTTCAAGTTCCCCAACAGGTAACCCCTCCCTACACATTCCAATTGGAGAAAGGTTCCCTTCCAAGCCCAGATCCCCCTCAAATTCATCCCCCCAAACCTTTCAATGTTACATCCCTGTCTCCTTCCAGAGTCCTGCAAACCAAGCAAATTAAACCTGGTTTCCAGTCAGTTCAAAACTGCTAAGCACCTCCACCCTCTGCAGCTACTTTCATAGCCCCCTCTCTGGCCCTGCTTATCCTCTCAGGGCCCCCCTCCAAGCCCTGGATCACCTTCAGTTCCAGGCTTTCTCCATCTTCCCCTAAGATGCCCTTCCATCCCCTCCACTCAAGCTTTCCTTAAGTAGGCTCGTTCTCTCCAAGCAAAATCCCCAGACGTGTGTCAGAGGAGAGCTAGCCTTTCAATGGCTGATTACCACCCCCCCCGCCCAGTAGATTGCTAGACTTTGCTTCCCACACATCTCTAGATGGACTCAAACTTCCAATCTTTGGGTTAACGAACAAGCCCAGCCCCTTACTTTTACACCACTCAGGGACTCCTCACCCCCTCACCAGGTTCCATCCCCCTCGGTGGTTCCTTAACCTGTTTCCACGTCTTCCAGTCTCCCTTTCCGCTACCCTCCCAGCTCCACTTCAAGCCTTCCATCGCCACTGGATTTGCCCTCCAGGCCCTCCATCCAACTCAGAGTCCCCCACCTAGTCCTCAGTGAGCCTCCCCCGCCTCAGCCCTGCGCACTTCCTCACTCACCCAGCCAGAGCGAGACCGAAGCCCAGGCATATTAAGTAGTTACTTTGGTAATAGAGGAGGTTGTTGATGACACGGTGGCACCATCGCTGTGGATCGCCCAGATCTGGGGCCGCTAAACGCGCTGAGCCCAGAACAAAGTCTTCTAGGGCGCGTAGCGGTGGCAGCCGGACCTCCGACATCCTGCAGCTCACTGTTGCTGGACCAAACAGTTGCTTGAACTACAACACCCGGTATCCCTCGCTCCACCTTAAGGGACACGGAGATAAAATCTTGACTTGGCTACACTAACCCCTTAAACGGACTGCGCAGAGATGGCAATGCACGTGACCGGAAATGCAAATGAATCACAGTTGTGGAGCCGCTAAGGCTTCTGGGAAATCAAGCCTCAGCCACTGGAGGGTGGGCGCTAAGGAGGGAAGTTTCCACACTCATTGCTAGGTGTGGGGGCTGGAGACGGGGGTGGGGGGGGTGGCGTGCAAGGAGGACTCCCACAGATAAGACCACTGGTGGTGCCAAGAGGAAGCTTGATCCCTTTCTAGGCTGCTCCCTCAGGGCGTTTTCAGCCACTTCTCGCAGCCCTTCACCTCAGATCCAGTCATGAATGTCATTAAGGGCACTTGTTATAGCAGCCTAGGAAGGACAGTAGCTAAAGTGCTTGGCTGCCAACCCCAAGCTGAGTGGTTCAAACCCACCGGCCATCCTATAGGAGAGAGATGCTGTAATCCACTTCTGTAAAGAACTGTAGCCTTGGAAACCCAGTCAGATTCCATGGCAGTGGTCTTTTGGTTGTTGGTGTTTTTGTTTTGTCTTGTTTTTATTTACATTCATCACAGCAGAGATCCCTTCATCTCATCGGATTGGATTAGGGCATTCCCTCCAGGTCTCTGGAGGTCTTCTCCAGGCTCAGAGCCTGAGGAGTAGGCTGTCTCTCTGGCCTGACCCCGCAGGCATGTGGTCAGGAATGAGTGCTTCACTGTTTACAGACATCTAGCTCTACTGAATGGAAGGAAACTGACCACCACCCTATTAATGCTTGCTGGCTGTGGCTTCTACATCAATCCTTCCCCAAAGGCACAGCTATGCAAACTGCTACTACAGGTCCCTCACATAGCCCCCCAAGGTCCTCAAAAGTCATCATCATCACAGATGTCAAGGTACACGTCAAAAGCCTCCCTGTTGCAGTTTCCATCCGGAGTGAAGACGTATTTGTGGAAGGTCCCATCGACACAGATGGCTAGAAGGGGAAGAGGAACAGTACAACTTCAGGCTGTCAGTCACACACTCCAATCCTTTCCAGGGTTGCATAGCCTAGGGTCTGCCTCCAGGCCTCTGCCTCCATGCCCCTTCCCTTACTGCTCATGGAGCTGAACCACACATTCCAGTTCTCTCAGGTTCCCCACGGCCCTTGAATTCTCTCAACTTCAACTCTGTCCATGCAGTACCTCCAACAAGGTGCTAATTTCACTCACCAATGACAGAGTTGACGTTCTTGGAAGTATTGCGTCCAAAGGCGCAGATGCAGGCAGACTCTGCGGGCACCGTGAAGCTTGCCAGGCTCCATTGAGAGTCCACGTACTGCCCAATCATAGGTCCCACCTTGCCCACGCGAGCCAGCCTGCAGACAGCACTGGCTAAGCCCAGGTGTGGTACATGGGGAGGATGGGGACAAGGCAGCGGGGTGGGGAGGATAGGGTATACTCACGCTGAGCGGCGGTTGAGGCGGGTGTCCTTGAGAGCAAAGATATGGACGGTGCCCTTATCACTGGAGGCGCAAAGGAAGGAGGAGTCATGGCTGAAGTTGATGCTGGAAGAGACCCACCAAGTAATGCTCATCTAGAACGTGCCAGGGGGTCACCAGCTCACCCTCCGTATCCTGTGCTCACCAGTAAAGGGTGGCAGGGTCCGTGCCTCGGCGCAGTTCCACCAGTTTCTCTTTGGACTGTGTGTCAAAAAGACGGATAAGGGTGCCCTTCTGGGAGGCCGAGGCCACTACAGTGCCTGGCTGGTTCAGGGACACACAGGCTATATCACTCTGATGCGCATTGATGGTAAACGGAGCAGATGAAGTACCAGGTTTTGTGCTCGCCAAGTCCTGGGATCAGAAGGGGTGGTTGGGCATTGGCGGTGGGGTGGGGAAGAGAGAGCCAGCTCACCCACTTACCCACTGGCCAGCTCACCACAAGCTGCAGACTCCCGCACTTGTGTCCCGGGAACACTAATAGTTGTTTCTCCAGGCTGGGGCAGAGGTCACAGAGCCCTAGGGTGTGGAAGTGAAGGGAGGGGGGCTGGTAAAGGGAACGCCGGAGCTGGGCAGTGGGACAGACATAGTCTGTAGAGCAGCAGTTCTCAACCTGTGGGTGGTGACCCCTTTGGTGGTCAAACGACCCTTTCACAGGGGTCACCTAAGACCATCGGAAAACACATATTGCCGACGGTCTTAGGAACCGAGACACCGCTCCTCTATCCATCTCCAGCCGGGTCGGCCCACATGCAGATAGGCCCCCGTATGAGCACCCGGAATTTAATTTATTTGTCATTAGAAATAAATAGTTCACAATAATTACATATTGTTTTTGTGATTCATCACTATGCTTTAATCATGTTCAACTTGGAGCAATGACAATAGATCTTGCATATCAGATATTTACACGACGATTCCTAACAGTAGCAAAATGACAGTGATGAAGTAGCAACGAAAATAACATGATGGGAAAAAAAAAAAAAAAGAAAAGAACGTGATGGTTGGGGGTCACCACCACACGAGGAAAGGGTGGAAGGTGGAGAACCACTGCTGTCGAGAATGGACAGAGCTGCACAAGGTGAGACGTGGCACACATGACACACGGGCCCTCAGGCCTGGGCCTCGGAAGTGTGCCCATCCTTTCTCCATCTCTGTCCCTCGGCCCATCCGCTACCCCGACCCTTACACCTCAGTAACTGGCTCCTCACCCTTGGGGTTGTCCCGGGTGTCAAACTCAAAGAGCTTCCGGGGATTGTCAGGGAAAGAGTACACGTAGATGCGGTTCCTCAGCACGATCACGATCCTGTGGAAATCACATGACTTAAGCATGGGTTGGCATGAGGAGAGCCCCTGCTATGGGGGACTTCTGACCCGCTCACGCCACCTCCCTCACTCTGCCACAGGCTCACTTGTCATGGCGCATGCGCACAGCCAGGACTGGCTTGGTGAAGGTGAACTCCAGCACCAGCTTGTCCTTGGAGTCCTTGCCTTCTCGGGCATCGTCCCAGATCAGCACTGCGGTGCAGGTGGGTAGGTTGGTGGAGGCCAAGGTTTTGGATGGGGAAAAGCCCTGGTAACATAGGAGCCACCCCGACTACCCAGGGGACTTCAATGTACAGGTTGAGCTTTTCGTTAAACATCCAATGCGAGGCCCACACACGAGGGCGCTAGCGAACCTGATCCCCGAGAGAACCATTTCTAGAGCAGTTCTACCCATTTCCAAAGGAAGAAACGAAGGCTGGAAGGACTGGAGTGTCAGGTCGAGGATGGCAAGGATCCCCATCAGCAACCAGGCAGGGACTGACAGAACAATTTCTGTAGCCAAGGCCCCAGTCCATACCGCACCCACCCAGGAGCTTTTTGTGACAGATGCTAGGGCTCAGAGACTCAATGAGAGTGATTCTTGTCATGTCCCAGGAGGATCAACAAGAAAGACCCTTTTGAAAAGGTGGTGCTTGAGACTCAAAGCAAGGGAGTGTTGGGGAGGCGGTTCCAAGATTTTGAAACCCTATTACTTGTATGGCCTTGGCCCAGTCACTTAATCTCTCTGGGCCTCAGTTTCCTCATATATTAAAATGGAGCTATCGTTACTTCCCACCATATGGAATGGATTATGAGCTAATAGATATACAACGCTAGAACATTACTAGGCTCATGGTAAGTGCGCCATTGTGTTAGACAGGGTTCTCTAGATAAGGGCACAGCACTTTAGCCTTTGCTAAATGAAAACAAAAGACCAAGCTGCAGGCCTCCCCGTGTGGTGACTGAGGGACACTGACAGTGTCCTACGCCTGTGCCTGCAAGGACCTGTGGGAGGCTAGGGAATGTGGACTAAGGGCAGAACAGGGTGCTTACCTGAAATCTCTGAGAACTTGGGACTGCTACCACCGCCTACCAGGGCCAGCAGATTGGAGCGGTGTAGCATCTCCACCAGGCCCATGCTGCCTACCTGCTCGTGGTCTGGATAGGGACCAGGGTGTCAGTGGTAGTCAATGCCCAGCCCATCCTTTCTGCCTGCTGCCCCTCCCTCTAACCACTCACCCAGATGCCCCTTCTCCATCAATGGCTCCACATTGTAGATACGCACGCCAGTCTCCATGGCACAGCAAAAACAGCCTACGGGGTGAGAGGAGCCCAGACTGCCTCAGAGGATGGGGCAGCTGGTGACCTCTCCTTCCTACCCTCCCTCCTTCCCACAAGGGAGTGGACCCAGTTGCTTTAGAAGATGCAGGGAGGTGGGGGGAGATAATGGCCTTTCCCTCCCACCCTCGCTCTTTCCCAAAAAGGATACAGGCACAAGCCTTTCTCACTCTGGTCTTGGTTGAAACGGAGGCTGGTCACTCCTCGAAGTGGTTGCTGAGCCATGGTCCAAGATTGTTCTCCTGGACACAAACGGGGTTGGGTAGGGTTATGGAGAGTTTTGGAGTCTCCCTTCAAATCTCAAGACTTCCTTGATGTCGAGCCCACCCTGCTTAGCCACTGACCTCAGTCAGACTGCATAGCAGATAGAAACAGGGTGAAGTACTGGGGCTCTCTGCTATTAGCTCCCCAAACCCCTAACAGTATGACCAGGGACCACTGTACCTCATCTTAGATCTCCCCTGACCTGGACGGCCCCCATCTCCTTACATTCTGGCTCCACTCCCCGCCCCCACCTCTGGCTCATTGTCAGGAAGCAAATGATAGGGCCTACTCCAGGGCTAGCCCTTCCCCATCTCAGCCTGGCAATCGTGCCCAACCTTGCTTGGGAACACCCCTCCCACCGCAAGGTCTTTGCACTAAGACTAGCACTTAGTTCCACCTGTCAATAGGGGAAAGGGGGTTAGAAATTTACCTCTTCCTGAACCTCCTTGATCTGCTCTGAATATAAACTATGGGTGATCTACCACTCACAGCAACCTCCCTCCTCGAAATTTACCTGGAACTGCTTTGACCTGCCCCTAAGATATCCTCTGGGTAATGTATCACTCAGGGCAAGAAGTGGTGGGAGGGAACTACCACTCCCTCAAGTGCTTTGGATTCTACCTCAAAATTATCTCATTAGCCAGGAGTCCTTCCAGAGTCTTCCCCAACCCCTTTCAAAGTAGCATGTCACCTTGAACTCTGCTAATTTTGGCTCAACCAGGGTCAATCAGAGCATTCCCTCACAGCCTGATGCCCTGCAGATTTTATTTGAAGATTCCCTTATCAGGCCAAATTCCCCACCCTTCCTTATGCTCTGCTGTTCCAACAAGAACAGGCCTGCCCCTGCCCTCAGGAAATTAAGATTGCTTCCCCAGACCCCTAACCCTCTTGCAAAGACCCTCCTTTGGGCACCTTTACCCTTTAAGACCCTTGCCAGGACCCCTAGCACCCACACAACCTGGGATACCTCCATTTCCCAAGACCTCTTGTGTTCAAGACCTCCCTACTCTATCCTCCCTTGAAACTCCCCTCTCCCCAAAGACTCTTCAGGGCACATGTCCCTTGCCCACACCGTCTACAACTCTAGGCCACTTAATCTCTCCTCCTTTCCTTCCACCGCACCCTCTTATGAGCACCTCACTCCCCAAGGCCTGTTCTTTGCATAGCCCCGCCTTCCAAGACCCCTTTTGCAGACCCCCCACTTCCACCCGACAAAATCGCATTCTGAGCGCCTAACTCAGGATGCTTCACCCGTCCCCGCAAGACCCCTGTCCAAGTGTGCCAGCATACTCCTTCCAACTACAGAACCAACCCAAGATCCCTATGCTAGACGCCCCCGCCTCCCATCCATCAAACTCCCTGTCAGAGACCCATATAGCCAGCCCAGGATTCCAACCAGTTCTGGCCACGAGTTCGAGCTCCCCGCCACCGGCGCTGACCTGGTCTCGCGCGTCCCGGATCCCGGTTCTACTTCTCGGAGCAGCCCGCGGCCCGGCTTACTGACCTCCAGGGCCCTAGCGCTCGGCTCTGGTGTTTACATCGGGTCTTTCTTCCGGGGAGGGAGTCGGTGAACGGAAATGAGTCATCCTGGCCGGAAGATCAGACTCTACCCTTCCAGGCCAGTGCCTGTGTTTTTGCAGCACCGCGAGCACTGGCTTGGTTCTCTGCGGCGGGAGGAGGTCGAATGGGGAACCGGAGGCGAAAGAGGCTCCGCCAAGGCATGGTTGTCTGAGGCATGAATAAGGGGTCATCCCGCACCCCCCACCCCCACCCCCAACCAAACTCGCTGCCATTGGGACCCCTGGCGACTCTAGAGATCGCGGGCAAAGGGCCCGGCCTGCAGCTCCGCAGGAGGCTGTCCTAGCAGGTCCCTATCTTGCAGGCTTCTGGAGTTTGGCTTTCTTTTTATCCTCCCCACTCTCACTTTTTCTACAAAACGATGAATCGCTTTTTGTTGTTAAGAAATGCAAATGTTTAGTTTGCAGGGGGGGAAAGTGGCCCCATATTATTAGTAGTACCTTTTCATTTTGAGAAACGTGTAAGAAATGATAAAAAGAAATCATTGCACAAGTTTCTCAAAATAAAATGTTTCACTAAGAAGATACTAACAATAATACGGGGCAAAATGTTACCATTAGGGGAAACTGTAAAAAGTACATGATTTCTTCTGATCATTTCTTACTTTTAACATAGTTTCCCCAAATGGTAACATTTTGCCAAGTAGAGTACATTTTTGCAGACAGTCAGTATATTGACAGTCATACAATACATTTATCCAGACCTTTTTGGTGGGGGACAAAATAGACTAACATAAAATTTGCCATTTTAACCATTGAGTGTACAATTCCGGTATGATACTAACAACACTGCACAACACTCACGGCACAGACAAACTCATTGAGACTCGATCTCAAAACTCACCGCCTTTCAGTCAAGGCTGGACTCACAGGAACCCTCTAGGGCAGGGCGGAACTGCCCCCCCCCCAAGGTTCCTGAGGAGAACCCTTTTTGAAAGCCTGCTGGGTTTGAACTGCCGACCTTGCAGTTAGCAGCCCAACTGCGCCACCAGGGCTTTCCTGCACCATTACCACTACTTATTTGAATTTCCAAAATGTTTCTATCATCTCAAACTCTGTACCATTAAGCAATAACTCCCCACTCCTGTCTCCCTCTCAATACCTGGTAACCATTCATCTACTTTGTTTATCTATTTGATGACAATAAATATTTCACGTAAGTGGGATTCGTTGAATATTTGTCCATCTGTGACTACCTTACTTCACTTAGCCTAATGTTTCCAAAATGCATGCCTGAGCATGTGTCAGAATTTCGTTTCTCTCTATAGCTGAATAATAATCTGTGTGTTTGCTGGGAGGAAAATAGAGCTTTCTGCTCCAGTAAAGAGGGACCATCTCAGAAGCTCACAGCGGCAGTTCCGCCCCGTCCTCTAGGCTTGCTGTGAGTTAGCATGCTCCCCATGGCAAGGAGTTTGGGTTTCTTCTTTGTTTTCCAGCAGCTTCCCTTTAGGGAGCCCTGCTGGTGTGGTGGTTCTGCATTGGGCTGCCCTCTGCAAGGTTGGCAGTTTCAGACCATCCGCAGCTCTGTGGTAAAGGTGGGGCTTTTAACACTCACCGCCTGTTGACTTTGACTTTGGGTTTCGGGGTAGGTACGAGTAGTGTAGTGTCTTTGACTTGAAATCGACTGGATGGCGAGTGAGTATGTACATACCATATTTTATCTGTTCATCTGTTGATGAGCACTTGGATTATTTTCCCCTTTTGATTTTTGTGAATAATGCCTCATTGAACGTGGGTCTACCAAGGTCTGTTTGAATCCCGGCTTTAAAATAGTTTGGAATTCTTATAACAACTCACAAGTTTAGATAGGAACCTTCTGTGGCAGTCGGTTCATGTTAATGGAGGAGTAATGACTCAGAAATGAGTGTGAGAATGGTTACATGACTTTCAGTGTGTAATCAATGTCACTAAAAAAATATCGTTGGGAATGCCTAAGGGTGAAATTACTGGGTCGTAATCTATATTGAACTTTATGAAACTCTCCAAACTCATTTTCATAAGGTCTACAGGATTTTACATTTCCACCAGCAATGGGTAAAGGTTCCCATTTCCCCCACATTCTTTTTGTTTGTTTGTTTTTAAATCATTTTCTTGGGGCTCATACAATTCTTATCACAATCCATACATACATCCATTGTGTCCAGCACATTTGTACATATCTTGCCATCATCATTTTCAAAACATTTGCTTTCTACTTAAGTCCTTGATATCAGCTCATTTCTTCTCCTCCCCTCCTCTCGCTCCTCTCCTCATGAACCCTTGCTAATTTATTTAAAAAATTTTCATGTCTTACACCGACTGCTGTCTTCCTTCACCTACTTTTCTGTTGTCTGTCCCCCTGAGAGAGGGTTATAGATAGATCATTATGATCGGCTCTTCCTTTTCCCCCCACCTTCCTCTTACCCTCCTGGTCTCCATACTCTCATTATGGGTCCTGAGGGTTTTATCTGTCCTGGATTCCCTGTGTTTCCAGCTCTTATCTGTACCCACGTCCATGCTCTGGTCTAGCCAGATTTGTAAGGTAGAAGTGAGTTCATGATTGTGGGAGGAAGCTTTAAAGAACTAGAGGAAAGTTGTGTGTTTCATTGGTGCTATACTGCACCCTGACTGGCTCGTCTCTTCCTTGTGACCCTTCTGTAAGGGGATGTCCAATTGACTACAGATGTTCCCACACATTCTTGGTAACACTTGTTATTTTCAGTGTTTTGCTGTTGTTGTTTTTGTCTCTTGATATGATCTATTCTAAACCCCAAAACCAATCCAGTTGGCATAGGCTTCGTTCCATCACCCGGACCCCATGAATGTCAGAGAAGAGCCTCACTCTACAGGGTTTTCTAGGCTATGGCAGGGACTTTTCTGCGGTACCTGTAGGTCCACTCAAGCCACCAACACTTAATGTGATGAAATGCTTGTGCCACACATATTATACAGCTACAGTAATCAAAACAGCCTGGTCTATAACAATAGATACAGATTCATGGACTAGAATTGAGAGTCCAGAAATAAACTCATGATTTTTTTAGACTTGTGATTTTTGCAAGACTGCCAAATTATTTTGATAAGGAAATAATTTTCTCTTTAATGGTAAGAGGAAAATTGGATTTCCCTATGTAGAAAATGAAACGGGATCCATGCTTCACCTCACACACAAAAACAGATTCAAAATTGATTAAGGACGGCTCTAGAGGGGAAACCCATCAAATCCAGGTCTATTTTATAATGCATTCAGAGAATCCTGATTCATGGGTTGTTGTTTTTTGTTGTTGTTAGTTGGTTAGTCAAATTGGTTCTGAATCATAGCGACCCTATATCCAACAGAATTTAAAGATTGCCAGTTCTGTGCCATCCATCCTTACAATTGTTATGTTTAAGCACAGTGTTGCAGCCACCGTGTGGATCCATCTTGTTAAAAATTTTTCACTGATAGCAACCCTGTATTCTATGGTGACCAGTGTATTAAGCTATAAACAGAACAAAGAGAAGAAAAATGCAAATCATCTGGATTAGAGAGTCCATCAGCCCGAGATCATAATGACATCCAAAGGTTTCCCAGCCATGTGACTAATTACTGATGATAGAAAACAAAGGGAATCCCTTTAGGACCAATAATGAGAGTAGGGATACCAGGAGGGAAGGTGGGGTAGAAAGGGGGAACTGATTACAAGGATCTACGTATAACCCCCTCCCCGGGGACGGACAACAGAAAAGTGGGTGAAGGGAGACATTGGTCAGTGTAAGATATGAAAAACTAATAATAATTCATAAATTATCAAGGGGGAGGGAGGGAGGGATGTGGGAAAATGAGGAGCTCAAGTAGAAAGGGCTCAAGTAGAAAGAAAATGTTTTGAGAATGATGATGGCAACAAATGTACAAATGTGCTTGACACAATGGATGGATGGATGGATGGATGGATGGATGGATGGATGGATGGATGGATGGTGATAAAAGTTGTATGAGCCCCCAATAAAATGATTTTTTTTAAAAAGGAAAATCAAGGGAATCTTCACAAAATCAAGAGAGAGGCAAGTCAGTGCATCATGGTCTCAGGCTGGATTGCAGAAGTTTGGAAAAGATCATGATTTGGATACATATCCAATTTCAGATTTTAAAAAACAGAACAATTTTATTGACACTTTATCCACATGTAGTCCAATCATATCAAGAAGAGTTGTGTAATCATTACCACAATCAATTTTAGAACTTATTCTTCTTCCTTCTACTCATTGTTATTGATGTAATTGTTTAATTGTGGGAGAATGTACACAATGAAACATTCTCCAATTCAGCAACTTCTACATGTAAAATTCAGTGCCAGATTAGAAAATTTTATAGACCTGGTCCTGAGGTCCTTTGACCACCTGGGCATGACACTTGGCCACAAGGTCTTGGTACAGGAACTTTCAGATGACACATATCTGTAAAGAATTAAGGCTACACTCAGGCAAGTCCCCTGAGGATAACATTGCACCTTCTGGGGCTGGCCAAGGGAGTTATAACTTTCTTTTAAGCAAGCTGCCTGAGGGCAGTGTTACCACATTGCTGGTAAATGGTGAGAAAGAATTCAAATGCAAGCTGAACTGCAGGGGCTCCAAAGACAGTCAGGAGTCCCTCTGAAACCATGCTTTACAATTTAAGTTCCATCCTGGATTCCACACATTTGATGTATGTATGGATTGTGATAAGAGTTGTATGAGCCCCCAATAAAATGATTTAAAAAAAATAAAAGAAGACAAAGAAAAATATTTAAGTTCTAATACAGGACCCAAATATACAAACCCAAGCCATAAAATTCTTAAGAGAAAATTCAAGGGCAATGCCCTCAGGCCTGCCTGACTTTTAACAATGAATTACCTACTTAATAAAAACACAAGGAACAAAAGACAAAACAAATGAATGGGAGCTCATAAAAAGTAGACCTTTTTTTTTTAATGGAAAGACTTTCCTAA